CCAAGACTAGCATTTTTAACACAGACGTATTCGTTGAACGTTTCTTTCTTTGTCTTTCAGGCGAAGGTGAACCGGATTCAGGCGTTAATCTCCAACCAGTGCGGAGTGCTTCGTCTGATCTGGATCCTACTAATTTCTTTGAAAGCGTGAGTGCATTAGTAGTTTTAAATCCCTTTAAATCATTTTGAGCTTTAAGATGTCCAACTGTCTGGTAACTGAGTGTAGTAATTTTCTTTGAAATAAAAAAAAACAATTTTGTTTATATGCAAATTGCAGTTTACAAATTTTGCTCCCAGCGTATCAGCGATGAATTTATCGAATACTTATCTTGGCATGGATACAGAATTTGATGCATCTGCAATCTTCAATCTTTCTGCCGTGATGCAAAGTGAGTTGTCGTTAAAGTTAAATTAAAACCCGACACTTGACTCAGGAGTACTACTTGAACATTTCCCTATCTTTCAAACGAATGTGACCCGGTTCCGTTTATGATTTGCAGCAAATTCAGACTGTTTCATTAATTTTGATTCTAATTTCATTTTCATTGACATAAAATTTACCGTTCCTAGAAGTCTACAGATTTTAGCGAAATAAAGAACCATACTGGATTGTAAAATCTACTTATTTGTTCCCAGAGCAAAAGTAATAAGTCCCTACCTTCCAATCAACAAAGTAGCCTCTTTCAAATTAACAAATGGCAAACTGGCACAATGTCCGACTTTTTTCAAGATCAGTCTGGATCTGTTGCCGGTGCTAATGACTACATGGCACTTTTCGGTGGTGTTGATACAAATGCATCATCTCATAACAATGAAGTTTTCGAATTGAATTTCGACAATTTGCCTGATGGAAATGAAGCTAAAGATGAGATTGACAAAAACAGTCGCTTTTTCGGTTTTTAACTGAAAGATAATATGTACCAGTTTGACTTTAATTTATGAAGTCTAATATAATGCTTATCTTTTTAACGTTGTTTTGAAGTTTCTCTGAATATATTTGTTCTTTTAAACAAAACGAGAACGTTTTCTTTCTTTTTTTTTGTCTTAAAAATATGATGGGATTATTAGAATTGAATTAATGGAATTGGGAGTCGGTCGTTTCTAGCATTGTTTTCCCTGAAAATAAAATTTTTTGAAATACTGTTGCACTTTTTCACAAAGAGTCAGAATGTGATTGGTCCAAGAATCCCGACTTCAGATGGAAACATACACAGAGTTTTACTATCAAATTGTATCATCCGCTGCCGCTACCTGTCAGAAATAAAAATCTGGGACAAACCAAAGTGTAGAGTGGTAGTTGAATTCATAGCATTTGAAATGCTGAAATCTTGAAGTCTTTTTAGATTAGCTGCCACATCCAGCTTGTGGTACGGAGAAATTTTTGCCGTAAAAGTTGATCTCTGAAGACCTCGTCTTTCTTTTTTTTTGGGACTTTTAGAAGTTATATAATATGGGTGGCCTAAAATATTCCCGGAATCTGCAGTACCTTTTAATTGATTGGAAGGTGATAACAGAGGAACTTTGCTGTTTACAGCAACTTGGCACGGGAATATATGATCAAACAAGGAACCCCATCGGCACAACAGAGAGCTTTGTTGTTACAATACAGATGTTGCAGTTAAGCTAAATAAAG